AACGCAAATACATCTTCGGATGAAAGCAGAAGAAGAAGATGAGTTTGGTTTGTAGATTCCTGAGTTCCCTGGCTCACTCTAAGTATTTTCTTTATAATTTTCAGACGTCAACTTCCCTGTTTGGGTTTTGGGATCTTTTATTTGGGGAAGGGGGTGGGGGGGGGGGGGGGGGGCGAAGAATAGACCCACTGTCCCCCTAACACAAGCATGTCGTAAAAGTCGACTAATTAGGGATGTATTCTTTGTAGTAGGAGTACATCTGCCTGAGAAGCGAGAAATCAACAGTCTGATTACAAATAAGTCAGATCTTTAAAATGGATGTGCAGGCAATACTCAAGTTCTGACACAAGATCGAAGTCCAGAAGTGATCAAACAACCAGAACCTTTCTGCCAAAGTTTACAGCCTGTGAACGTGAAGAAGAAGTAGAAAGCATTTTGATATGTAAACCTTGATAGCATAACCCACATGACCAAACATTTTTGGTATAACGTTTTAGAACATCAAGGTTGCCTGAGACAAGAAGTTAGACATTGATTTTTCATGTGTTAAAAATAGTAATAACCTCTTATTTTAAAATAATTAACTTTTAACACAAGCATTATGTGTCAACTGTGTGTACAAATATGTTTACGCTACGTAATATTTTTCATTCTACAGGACAACCAAAGCAGCGGCATTACCAAATACCCAAAGCCGGAGACATATTTGACGAGAGTCCCTATCCTGAACTTATTCGTTACCCATCGTCCCTTCAGCAAGGGGCATCTGAATTACTGTTTGAAAACACACCAGAAATGGAGAGAATAATCCAGAATGTTAATAAGTTTGAACACACAAAAAATAGTGATCGGTCATATTCACAAAATTTGCATAATGCAAAACAGGGGGACAGAGCCAAACAAAGTATTCCTATTCATAGAGAGTTGGGGGTTACTGACTTGACCTTAGATGCTAATGGCATAATGTGGGGAGAGCAGATGACAGCTGCATACATTCAGAAAGATGTTAACCCAACATATAACAAAAGCCTTTTGTTAACACAAGGAGTAGAGCATTTAAAATCAAATGATGATACAGATGTAGATGAAGAGTTAACAGATTATGTACAAGATGAAAACTTGACCTTTGGTCAACAATCAGAAAAAGCAAAGTTCTTAAAATCTCAAGAGCCCACCCCTAACAGCATTAGAAGAACGACGATGGCCACTCTTCAGCAAAATCCTCTTCCTCTTGATGAAAAGGTGGTGAAACTTCTTTCTTCACTAGAAGAGGCCAGTGGTCAAGCCAATAATAGAAAAATGTCCACTGGCAATTTACGTGGATCAAAATATATTAAAAGACCAAAGACAAATAGGGCATTCAATGAAAACTGTGATTATTCTACTACAGAATCATTTGAACTCAGTCCTTTACACAAAGCCAGAGCTGTTCAGAAACGTGTGGAGCAGCTCACCGCATCAAACTCCAATTTACCTCCAGATCTTTTTTCATCTCGACAGTCTGTTGGCTTTGAGGTCAGTCATCCAGACCAGGAATCAGATTTTTCATCAAGTAGCTATGTTTCTCTTGAACACCCCCAAAACCTTTTATCACAGAAACAAGACAAACGGTATAGTATCAGTCCACATACCAGAGTACCCAAAGAGTCTGTTCAGTTTGAAGATATTATCAGTCGTGAGATTAAGAAGAATCTAAATTCTGGAGAGGAAGACAAATTAGAATCCAGTAATAGCAGTTTCCTGAAACCTAGTGAGAACATCCCTGCTGCTTCGACCACACTGTGCAACAATAATGCAATATTAGATTTATCACTTGCTCATATCCCAGACACAAGCAGTGCATTTAGAGTAGATAAGAACATTGAAAAAGAGTTAACTAGTAAATGCCAAAGCAACATCCCTAAAGATCACAACTTGGAAATGGAGAAGAGCATTGAAAAAGAGTTAACTAGTAAATGCCAAGGCAACATCCCTAAAGATCACAACTTGGAAATGGAGAAGAGCATTGAAAAGGAGTTAACAAATACATGTAGTGTAAGAATCAAAGAGATTACAGATATGTCTGAAAATCATGTTTTGGAAAATGAAAATTTCATTGAAAAACAGTTAAGTGACACATGTAATGGAGGCATCAAGGAGACTGAAATGCTTACATCAGAAGATGGTGTCTTAAAAAATGACAATGTCACAGAAAAATGGATAACTAATACATGTAATGGAGTTACCGAAGAGTTTAATGTGCCTTTAACGAAAGATCACAGCTTAGGTGAAGATACATCAGGTCACATTTTACCAAACATGGATCTGGCTGAATACACAGATACCACAGTTGTGCCAGCTAACAAGCTGCCAGCTAGGGTCATGAACCATAGTGAAACACAAGTCTCATCTTCAGAGGAAGATTTGTTTGATGATAACTCCCGTAAAAAAAGCGTTGATGCCACCACAGACACTGATTTAGAGAAACTTGCAATGCCAGCACACCTGCAGAAAGGTTTTGTTGTGAGAAAAATGATACCTAATAGGAAGCACTTTACACGGAGAAAGTCCAGACAACGTACACAGCTACGAAAATATCAATCACAGGAATCGTTATCTTCCGAAATTTATGGTAAGTTAAGGTTGTATATATTAATATTGTCAGTATTTTTTGATGTCAGCTAACTTTGTTAAAACCGGCTCAATATAGCATGCAAGACTTTTTGTGTGCCTTCCCTAACTATTAGTGACATGGATTTGTTTTTTAATATTTTTTTCAATTTAGAAAAAGCATTTTTTTTTTTACCTGACCTGTTCTGTTTTAATTGCAACATAACGACTGAAAAAGCCATTTTTTTTTTACAAGAAACCCACCCTACCCACAAAAATGCTATTTTTAGTAAATATATTCATATCCGGTTCTCCTAAACACTGCACAGACACAGACTGAACAGTTCTGTTAACTAGGCTTTTCAGAAACTGGCCATTGCACCAAAGCCTATATATAAGCTTCACAGGGATTTGTAATAGGTGGTGGCTTCTCAGGGTGAAAGGGTTAGGATAGGAAAGTGCAGTCCCATACAGACTGATGTAGATGCGGGAATTGTTAGATTTTCAGATATACTAGGACACAATGTATTGTGATAAATTCATAGTTCATATCTTTCCAGATAGTTTTCATCTTCTTCTTCTGCTTAAAGTCCAGGCCATGTGACGTTGATAGTTCATATCTGCCTTTTCTTTCCAGATAATTTTCATCTTCTTCTTCTTAAAGTCCATGCCGTGTGGCGTTGATGGTTTATATCTGCCTTTTCTTCCCAGATAGTTTTCATAACATTCTAAAAATCACTTAGCACTCTATTTACGGCATCTGTGGCGTAGGGGTTGCAAATGCACTTCGTAATGCCAGGTTTGATTACAGCTGCGGATGATTTGTCGTGCATTGGTTTCATCAGTGGTACAGATAGCTGACCATTTAGGAAGCAATGGCAAACTATTGAACATAAGATTTGCCTAAATAAAAACAACAAAAGAAAAAAAAATGATGGGGTTGGTTATGCAACTTCCTGTAAAGGATATGCAACTAACTAACTAACCCTATTTATGAAGCTGAAACTTTCTTGTTCTGATGTTCTTGGTGTTGTCCGTACCTTCTCCAGAGAATAATGTTATATTGTGCTATGGGGAAGCATAGGACTCACAGTCAGTGACAGTGATGACTGCGACTATAAAGACTTGCCCAGGTTAAGAAATTGTCTTCCACAATTAGAGCAGAAAGTCTGGTGATCTCTCTGGCAAACCTCTACACCCCAGGGTAGAAGAGGAGCGACTAAGTCAGTCAGTAATTGAAGCATAGTGTTTCATGACTGTTGGTGCCATCACATGTATTTAATGTGCTTCTTCTCAGACACTCAGCCCTCAACCTATCTAAAATAATTTTTCCCTTATTACCATTCTGTTCTTGATTTTCCCTATCAGTGCAAAATGTTCCATGGCATTTTATTCCCACAAATGAAAGTGAAAACATCATTACACCACAGCAGGCGGGCTTTAGAAAGTTCTATTCTACGGAAGACCAGACAACATACCTCTCCCAAGAAATAGAGGATGCTTTTCAAGATAAGAAACTGGTACTCGCGGCATGGATAGATTTAAGGAAAGCTTTTGATAAGGTTTGGAAGGAGGGGCTTTTGAAGAAATTGAGAAACTATAAAATAAATGGAAAAATGTACAATTGGATTAAAGCATACCTACATAACAGAAGAGCCCGGGTACAGGTAGATGGTTTTAAAAGTAAAAAAGTTCTACTGCGACAAGGCGTCCCTCAAGGTGGTGTCCTGTCGCCCACACTTTTCCTTTTATTTATCAACGATCTGGTTGCTGAGATACCAAATGGAATCAAAATGGCAATGTACGCCGACGACCTGGTACTGTGGTGCACCAATGAACATGCAACGATAGCCACAAAAACACTACAGCGGGCTACAAATGCACTTGAGGCATGGGCCAATAGATGGTGTGTCAGCATCAACACAGACAAATGTAGCACCACACTATTCACCCTCTCCCCAAAGCAAAAAGCCGGCACCATCAAAATAAACGAAATACCCCTGAGAGATGATAAAGAGCCCACATACCTAGGAGTCACATTTGATGACAGGTTGACATGGAGAAAACATATCAACAAGGCAGCAACCAAAGCCAGGAGGAAGACAGCAATACTAAGAAAACTAAGTGGAACCACATGGGGAGCAGATGGGAAAATACTCAATAAAGTATACAAGCAGAGCATACTTCCACACTTGGAATATGGGTCAACTGCATGGTGTTCAGCATCTAGTACCACATTAAAGGAGTTAGACAAAGTGCAAAATCAAGCGCTCAGAGTCATCACAGGAGGAATGAAATCAACCCCCATATTAGAAATGGAGAAAGCTGGGAAAACACAGGCACTGAGAGAACGTAGAGATACAAAGTTGCAAATACAAGCTGAAAAGTTCCTCAGTATGCCAGATCACCCGATGGAAAACAGATTTAAGAACCTAGCCCTGGGACGGTTAAAAAGAAGCAGCTTTATACACCAAGCAAAAAGAATATGTAGACAAACTCCTGACCTTCCAGAAATTGGCTGCCCACTAAAAAGTATTCCGGAACAAACCCCATGGAGAGAAAAATGTAAACTAACGGTACAAATCCAGACAAATGTGAAAGGGATATTTGACAAGAAAGAGCAAGATAGTGTACAACGCAAAATGGCCACCCTCAGTTATATTGATGAAGAATACCCACAAGAACAATGGGTCAGAGTCTATACAGATGGGTCCGCAGAAAGTGCAGTTAGAAATGGTGGTGCTGGAGTGTACATCGAATTCCCAGATGGTACTAGGGATAAGTCCAGCGTACCAACCGGGAAGTACTGCCATAACTACGATGCAGAAACCCAGGCTATTAAGATAGCTACAGATAAACTGCTAAATAGCAACCTTGGCTCACAGTATGTGGTAATGCTGACAGATGCTAAATCAGTACTTGAAGCACTCCAGTCTAGGAAACTACCAGAATTGCAAACACTGCTGACACAACTCAGCGTTCAGCGAAGAGTCGTAATGCAGTGGATACCGTCTCATTGTGGAGTGCCTGGAAATGAGAAAGCTGATCAACTGGCAGGGGAAGGTGCGAAAAAAGAGCAGCCAGATGTACCAGTCACATACCACCAAAAGAAAAGAATCATTAAATCGATCAGGAAACCACCAGCCCCAGCACAAGACGACTATTTTATTATGGACAGACCAGAACAAGTCATTATCTTCCGCCTCAGAACAGGGCACAACCGATTACGTAACCACATGTACACAAAATTCAAGATAGGTGTATCAGCCATGTGCACCTGTGGAAATGTGCCCCAGACCGCAGAGCATGTACTCCAGGACTGCACCGATTTTGACACATTAAGGCAAACCTTTTGGCCAGAAAGAACAACAGTGGAACGTAAACTCTATGGACCACTGAATGAACTAACAACGACAGTGAAATTTATACAAGAGACAAAACTGCTGATATAGATAACTTATTTCAGGCGAACGAAAGAAGAAGAAGAATTCCCACAAATCTATCTCTGTACCTGTATCATTCATATCCTGCTTTCACGCATCTTTATATCATAGTAGAAGCAGACCTCAAAATCTTTTACCTATCTGTAATTTACTATAGAGGATCTCCTTAGGGGTTCTACCATCTTCCATTCTCCAGGTGTGATCCAGCCTTTGGAGACTGAGCATTAAGAAAACATTTATGATGCCTTATCTTTCCAGTACCTCATCTAGCTCTGTGCTGGGTGTGAAAATCCTGCCACCGCTGAGATAACCTTTTTATAACTAACCACACTTACCATTATGCCACTGTAGACTCTTAGAATTTGTAGTTTCTAATTTATTTCATAATGAAAAAAGGGACATTTTTTCCTTCTCTGTTTAAAACATACAATCAGATGTGGACACAACACCGAAATCTGGTCGACAGGCAGTAAGGAGAATGCGAATTGCACTGTTCCGAGTGTTCTCTTACTTAGATACAAAAACTTTGCTGATAGTTTCCTGTGTAAGCAAAGAATGGAACAGAGTAAGTCGGCACCCTGCACTGTGGAAACATGTCAGACTGGCCAATAGCACCATTTCTTCAAGTGTAAGTGTATTTATTTCTTAGTGCTGTTTGCTATATTCATTTATAGTTATTGCCTTTAATTGTTCACTTGTCTCATTCTGCAGTTTTGCATGATCACTAATTTGTAGTAAACAGTGAGCAGCTCATTGAAGCAACAGTTGGGGTCCAAATATGTCAGATGAAGTTTAGATAGTTCAGATGGTTTGGACATGGATCATGACTACCACAAGCTAGCGCACCACAGAACGTCCTGTCAGTTATTCACAATGGAGGTGAAGCTAGAGACTGGCCATGCCGTCTGTGCATAGATATAATACCTGAGGCCATGAATCCCCACACCTGTCTAGCACACACCTAGACACCCTTCAGATGCCTCTTCAAAACTTGATGTTAAAATGCAGAACAGTAAAACGGAAAAAAATATTATAGACTGATATTGGTAGACTGATATACATTTTAATATTAAAACAGAACAGCTTTGTTGGGTTGGTATCATTTTCAGCAACAGTGTCATTATCACCAACAGTGTCATTATATCACCAAGAGTATCAATGTCACCAACAGAATCTTTATATCACCAGCAGTATCATCACCAGCAGTGTTATTGTATCACCAATGGTATAATCACCAACTGTATCATTTAATCACCAACTGTTTCATTTAATCACCAGCAGTGTCATCGCCAACAGTATGATCAGCAGCAGTATCATCACCAACAGTATCATTTTATCACTAAATGTATCATCACAACAATATCATTGCCACCAGTATCATTATATCACCAACAGTATCATCACCAACAGTATCATCACTAACAGTATCATATCACCAGCAATATTGTTATATCCCCAACAGTATGATCACAAGCAGCATAATTATATCCCTAACAGTATCATTATATCATGAGCTGTGCCATTATATCACCAGCAGTATTATTATATCACCAGCAGTATCATTATACCACCAAAAGTATCATTATATCACAGTAGTATCATTATACCATCAACAGTATCATTATATAATGAGCTGTGTCATTATATCACCAGCAGTATCATTATATCACCAACAGTATCATTATATCATGAGCTGTGTCATTATATCACCTGCAGTATCATTTTATTTTTGACCTTTCTATAACATGTCCAAATGAGGGTTGTCTTTTTTGTTTCCTTATGAGTATCAACACCATACACTTGGTTTTTTACACGTGAATAGTGATACTGATTTTCTTGTTATTTTTTTTAAATCTCACCTTTATTTAAATCAGTTCATAATGGTTAGATTTGTGGAATTTTTACTTCTAAAATTTATTTTGCTGTATCTCAATAGAGCTTGTGGTGAATTTGAAATTGCAATGGAAATCACCTTAAACATCTGGTGTTGAGATGCACAATGCATCTAGAAGCATGGTGATTTGAGTATGTCAATGTAATGGATTCAGTTTTGTGCTTCTTTATATGCTTGTATATATAACTGTAGTAATGCACCTGATGATATACAGCAAAATATGTTAGGCAGTAAGTTGTGCAGTGTATTGTTTGTGTCCACATTATTGAAGTTTATAATGAGAAAATATTATTTTGAATTTCTAAAATAGAGCAGAGACAACCTTAATCATCGCTTTGTGGGATGCAGTTTTTCGTTATTTTGAAGCCCTACCCTGGCTCTTCCCAGGGGCCACAATCTAGCCCGGCCAATAATATGGCTTAATAGCTGAATGCGGTTTCTGGGACATCTCCACGGGTGATCCTCATCCTAATGGTGGCACTTAGTGTCATCGAGTGTTTATCACTTGTGTGATGTCCTGGTGGGGTAAAAGTACTACTACTAAATGGAGCAGATATTGGCTGGCTTCTTTTGATTAAATAGCTGCAGAGACACACGTGTAGATTAAATCAAAGGCAGCCGGTGCTTTATTTATTTTGTTGTTGTTGTTGATTTGTTGTGTATTTGTGTCTTTTGGTTAGGTATATATTAGTATTGACTGTTTACTCATGTTCATTTGTCACCTTCTACAGTTTTTAATCACATTGTCAAACTGGTGCACCCAGACACAGTCACTGTCATTGGAAGGTTTGTTATGTTTATTTTTGTTTCTTTTTTTTTACATGCGAATAGTTCATCTGTACCGTATTATTTCAAAAGACATTATTTTTGGTGAGGATTTAACCTGCACAAAACACAATGATTTTGTATTTAATGTGTATGATATAATTAAAGCAGTCTGTTGTTATTTACACACATTATTTTGAAACAGAAGTATTTCTTTATGTTTTATAATTATTTATGCTAATGTATTTTTAAGCTTGGTAAAGGATACCTTGCCTCTCAGGCATGTACCACTGCATTTTGTTGGTTTACTTTGCATATTTGTGCTCTTTATTTAAAAAAATATAATGTTACCCTATAGTTTCTATAATTTAGAATATTCATCACTAAGAAATACACTTTTTTATACAGAGTTTATTGCATTTTCTTTTTATTTTATAAAATGCAAAAAAAAGGTAGATTTAAAACTTATCTGTTTAATTTCAGCAATGCTTACCTCACGTGATGAGACTAAATTAACTGACTGATGCTTTCCTTGTTTAGGTTCAAGGGATGCATGGTGAGACATATTATTTCATTCTTGTAATAATTGTTGGATTTGTTTTGGGAGGAAAAACGGGTTTAAAAGATTGTGGTTTTATTACAGTGTGTCTTGTTTATTACTTACTTGTACCTTTTATCTCCCAGAGGAATATCAACCCTGAACTCTTACGCAAGCCCTCTAATCTTTTGCAGTTCTCTTCGTTGTTCTCCTGTATTAATAATTTATGTCAGTAATTCTCTTGTCCGTAGAGTTTTATGTCTCTTTTTGTTTCCACTGTGAATTTCAGAGATTTTTAATTGTCACATTAACTGATTTTCCAGATCTGATTCATATCTATGCCTGGGGTTTGTCTGCCTCCTAATTCCCTGGAATTTGTTTACTCCTTTCCTGAATCTCTCTGTTTTTGTCGTTTTGTTTTTTCTGGCATACATTTTAGTCCTATTCAGTGTAGATACCTGTTAATCAATGTCTGCAATTTATTAGTCATTTTATAGTTGTTAGTCTTGGTCATCGCATTTTACTATTGACTTTTGGTGAAGTAGGGTATTTGGGGAGGATACTGGCCTTATCCTAGGAAGAGGAAATACAACCTGAAAACTTTTTGTTATGGCAGGGCAGACCAGGCCTTTAGCCTTGGCTGGCAGCTGGTCTGGGAGGGAAGGTCTAATAGGTGGACAGAGAGAGCATTGCTCTTCTGATCCGGCAGCTTCTGCAGCATGCTTTGTTCCAGACGTACTGGTGTTACCTTTCTTTTGGAGTAAATAAGGCAGGCAGAGAGGGGTTCGTGATGCATGGGCAACAGATGGTCTCTAAAACACTGCCCAGGCTGTTTGCCAATGAGATGATGAACTTCATCCATGGCGTAATCGGTCTCAGAAACAAATTGAGAGACAGTAATTACCGGTTTTATAAGTCCTTGTCATTTAGCATAAAAGAGGGTGCCACAGGTTGCCTCTGATGGTGGGAGACATTTTCAAATGTCACTGATCAGCTACCATCTGTCTAAAGCTGGGCAGCTCACAGCCAGTAAGGGGTTGATCCACCACAGCTTGTGTTCTTCAGTGGGTGCTTGCAGCTAGGACAAAATCAGAATCTCAGGCTGTAAAAAACATCAGTATGCAGTCTTTCTCCCTCTCTCCCTCTCTCTCTATATCTCTCTCTATCTCTCTCTCTCTCTCTCTCTCTCTCTCTTTCTCCCTCTCTCCCTCTCTCTCTCTCTCTCTCTCTCTCTCTCTCTCTCTCTCTCTCTCTCTCTTCTCTCTCTCTCTCTCTCTCTTTTTTCTTTTTTTCTTTCTGTAAACATCATTTATTGTTGATACATACATGGTCAGTTTGATTCTGTGTTGTGATCTGATTATACCCACATTGGTTTATGCATTCTTTTATTTGGGAAAAACACTTCTTTCTACAACATATCTATTCACTGCACAAAAATTGGTAAGTAAATCTCCAGTATTTGTCATTAACCCGTGTTTGTAAATTTTTTTTTTCTTTAAAATCCCTATAACCCTACGTTATCTTGACATTTATATCACTCAAACACAAATGTTTATATTACTAATTTTTAAGTGGGGGTGGGGGGGGGGGGGGGGGGGGTTATATATTGCTGTTGTGAGAATCTGGCAATATAATTGTTTAAAAAATTAATACAGCTGTCGAATATAGTTTGAGCATGTTTTGATCACACGTCTTCACATTTATTGCTTGATTAAATATTTCTTTTCTCTTTCTTTTTTTCTCTTTCTTTCCTTGTCTCCTTCTGTCGCTCACAAACTCTTTCTCTAATTATCTCTCTATGTCTATTTAATTGTTTTGTATTATATTACAACAGGTTTTAAGTTGCTAGTTTTTACTTATATAAATCTAGTTTTTTTTAAAAATCTGCATGATAGAAAAAATATGCAGAAGTTAACAGTACTTGAAGTTCATAAATTTGGTTGAATCAGTTTCTAGCTAGTATTTGGATGTTTATATGTCAGTTAAAAAAACATTCTGTATAACTTTACCGAACCTGGCTTCGCCTGGATAGTCTCAGACTCCTTACTGCAGTCAGTATGATTCATTCTCTGATTATAAATCTATTTTATCGCTTTAGAAAGTCTGTTGCGGATAATGCCACAAACAGAATTAATTACCAAAAGTCTACTGTTCAGGAGCAGTGGCACACTACTGAATATAAATTAGCATAGAAAAAACCCCACAAACAACCAAAAAAATGCTTGGATTGGTTCTGCAACATCCTGTAAAGGATACGTAACTTCTTCTTCTTCTTCTTCGCGTTCACCAGCTGTACACTCTTGTGGAAAGTTCTGGTTGTTCATCCACTTCTGAACTGCAGTCCTGCTCCAGAACCTGAGTGTTGCGTGTGCATCAGTTTTACAGATCTGATTCACTTGAATGCAGATTGTTGGTTTCTTGCCTCTCAGGCAGATGCACTCCGACTTCAATTAGTCGACTCTTACGACATGCTTTTGGGTAGGCAAAGGGTCTATTCTTGTTTTCCCCACGATGGGGCCCCGGAACCCACACGGGGAGGATACGTAACTAATATGTTAATATTTAATATCTCTGTATGCAATATTATACTAAAGATATGTAGTATGCTCATAGTTGATTACATTTCTAGACTTACATTTATATATTCTGTTACTTAACTGCCAAAATGAAACATTTCTGTACTTGCATTATGATGCTAAGATACTTTGCATGCTCTGAGTACTTTCGGCGGCGTCCGTGGCTAAGGCGTTGCGAGTCCGACACGTAAGCCAGCATACCGCGATCGAAACCCACTGCAGGCTGCGTGGATTTTTGTCGTGGTATGGGACGTCGCAGGTCGACCCAGCCTAGAATGGGTACCAGGATGGGCTGTCCTGGGAAAGTAAAAACAGCCGGCGTAATGCTGACCACATTACCCACAGAGTGCTGATGGTCTGTAAAAATATGGGACGCTCTGCCCATATGCCCGATGCGCCGAAAGGCGTGAAAAGGGAACTTACTTAAGTACTTTCATTATTATATTTAAAAAACGTTCTTATTTGACATTTCCATATTTTCATTACTACTGTATACTTTTAAGTTACTTGATAAGCTTTTATTTGAAATTATAACACTTGCACTTTTATACTTTTATTTGAAATTATTATACTAGACGTGTAGGATGCTCTAATTTGCATTTTTTTATTATGGTTATGTAAGCCAAACAATTTCTTGAGGCCTCAGGTTTTACTGAAGAATTCTTAAAATTCCTTGGATAGCCAAAAAGAGCAACCCAGATGTTTTTAGAGAGGTCAGGCTCAAAGACCACTATGCAATAAACATCAGAAAAAAGACAGATGTCACTTCTATATCATTTTATCTTCTTCTTCATGTTTCCCGGCTTTAAATGGCAGCAGGAAGTTCTGGTTGTTCGTCCACTTCTGGACTTTGGTCTTGTTCCAGAACTTGAGTGTTGCATGCATAATTTTATGAGAAGAGGGAAACTGGAGCATGCTGTGACCACTGGAAAGTTTATAAAGAGATAGAGAAAGACATTGTGAGAAGATTCATGACAGCCTTTTCTTCATAGCAAGGAGGGGTATTAGCACATAAACTGATACATGTTATTGAAGATCACAGGTTGTGGACAGGCATGAACACCCATGCCAGTCGGTAAGGCACTCAGTGATGATGATATTAAGATACTTGGTTTTTCTTATTTGACATTTCTAGATTAGCAGTATTTTACTAAAAGTTTCTCTTATTCGACATTTCTAGATTAGCAGTATTTTACTAAAAGTTTCTCTTATTTGGCATTTCTAGACTAGCAGTATTTTACTAAAAGTTTCTCTTATTTGAAATTTCTAGACTAGCAGTATTTTACTAAAACTTTCTCTTATTTGGCATTTCTAGACTAACATTATTTTACTAAAAGTTTCTCTTATTTGGCATTTCTAGACTAGCATTATTTTACTAAAAGTTTCTCTTATTTGGCATTTCTAGACTAGCAGTATTTTACTAAAACTTTCTCTTATTTGACATTTCTAGACTAGCAGTATTTTACTAAAAGTTTATCTCATTTGGCATTTCTAGACTAGCAGTATTTTACTAAGTTTCTCTTATTTGACATTTCTAGACTAGCAGTATTTTACTAAAAGCTTGTCTTATTTGACATTTCTAGACCTGCAGTATTTTACTAAAAGTTTCTCTTATTTGGCATTTCTAGACTTGCAGTATTTTACTAAGTTTCTCTTATTTGACATTTCTAGACTAGCAGTATTTTACTAAAAGCTTGTCTTATTTGACATTTCTAGACTAGCAGTATTTTACTAAAAGTTTCTCTTATTTGACATTTCTAGACTAGCAGTATTTTACTAAGTTTCTCTTATTTGACATTTCAAGACTAGCATTATTTTACTAAAAGCTTGTCTTATTTGACATTTCTAGACTAGCAGTATTTTACTAAAAGCTTGTCTTATTTGACATTTCTAGACTAGCAGTATTTTACTAAAAGTTTCTCTTATTTGGCATTTCTAGACTAGCAATATTCTACTAAGTTTCTCTTATTTGACATTTCTAGACTAGCATTATTTTACTAAAAGTTTCTCTTATTTGGCATTTCTAAACTAGCAGTATTTTACTAAATGCTTGTCTTATTTGACATTTCTAGACTAGCATTATTTTACTATAAGTTTCTCTTATTTGAAATTTCTAGATTAGCAGTATTTTACTAAAAGTTTCTCTTATTTGACATTTCTAGACTAGCAGTATTTTACTAAAAGTTTCTCTTATTTGGCATTTCTAGACTAACATTATTTTACTAAAAGTGTCTCTTATTTGGGATTTCTAGAATAGCATTATTTTACTAAAAGTGTCTCTTATTTGGGATTTCTAGACTAGCAGTATTTTACTAAAAGCTTGTCTTATTTGACATTTCTAGAATAGCATTATTTTACTAAAAGTTTCTCTTATTTGACATTTCAAGACTATCAGTATTTTACTAAAGTATGTAGTGGGTTTTAAGTTGCCTTATTATATTAAAATAATTAGTGTTAAACTGTGTTTTCCTAAAACAGGTTTACATGGAAGAAGTATAACCGCAGAGGAAACTCCAGAAAGTTATCAACAAGCTATCAGGTAAACCTGTTAACTCTTAGATTCTTAGATGCAGTTCCTAGATATTTGTGTGTATGTGCCATCTCCATAGTGAAAGTTAGCTGCAGGGCACCACAGCAGTCTTTGGGAATATTACGTGGTGAGGTCCCACTCGCTTCCATGGGGTGACTCTCATACCTCTGCAAATGTATTACAAGATCTGTTGACAGAAAAATATATATAAACTGTCCACTGCAGAAATCAAACCCTGGGGAATGAAGGTCAAATATGGTGACGCATACAGGTCAGTCCAGCAAGTGTATGAGGGGAGTAGGAAGTTTCAGAATGATGTGATTTCTGTTACAAACTGTTCACGACAGGGTCAGGCACACAGAGTAGTCTTCTTCTTCTATGCGTTCACTAGCTGTAGACTCTGGTGGAAAGTTCTGGTTCTTCGTCCAACTCTGGACTTTAGTCTGGTTCCAGAATATGAGTGTTGTGTGCAAATCCATTTTACGGATCTTTCATTTTAGTACACACTTGTAGGGGCCCCAGAACCCATGCGGAAAGTACACCGAGTGGTGACCCTAGAGTCGACTGCAGCTGTTGAAAGCCTTATACAGGAAAATCATTGATTGACTGTGAGGGGCAGGCATCACCATACTTGACTTCATTTGCTGACAAATTTCACTGCTCGGCAAACATTTAATCCCCTATTTACTGAATTAAAATAGAAAAGGTAAACAGAAAACTGCTGCTCTCAGATGTATGTCAGATGTGGGGTGGCGATCTTTAAACTGTCACTGTGTTTGTCTGCCACCTTGATGTCAGGGGCTTAACACTTTGACATCCTTAACAAACAGGTTACCAGATAATGACATGATTATTGTAATTTTTTATCTAATTTGAAGCCCCCTCATATATGACTGATTGCTTTTCGCAACTATAGTCTTTAACTGGAAAAGGTAGCCAGCCAGTACCATGTTAACTCTCCTTGGTTATCTCTTACTACATGGTGGGAAGTTACCGTGTCATTCGCTATTCTTAATTTTCCGATTAGACCATATTAACACATGATTTACATTCTGGTTGCTTAGGACATCTTATAATAGTTGTATCTCTTAATAAAAGTTTCTTGGAAAATATAAGACGTTATGGCTCTTCTCCGAACTTCTACCCCCGCATTATGGCGGGCTGAAATATCCATACAGGGCTCAGTCCAATTAAAAATATGCGAACTTCCGGCGAAGAACGAATCGCTGCAAAACAAGGATCTGCTCCGTATAGCGAAACAAATGCTCTAACAGGGTCTCAGCGATATGTTAATTGCGGACCTGTTTCTGTGACTATGCCTCACCGCCGACCGTATCCCCTGCGCCGTGTGTAGCGGCACGGATCGGGCTAAACTAGATGGCTGGGACTCACGAGCAGCAGCTACCGCATCTCCTGCAACTTCCTCCAATTAATTTGCTCGGGAGTCCCAGGCATCTAGTTTAGCCCGATCCGTGCCGCTACACACGGCGCGGGGAATACTGTCGGCGGTAAGTGTAACCGTGTTTTGCACATGCCAAAAAGTCTGAGGACAACAACGACGCTAATCTGTGTCGGCGCACATGGTCTCCCCAACATGTCGCTTTTATTGTCTGCAGAAATGCTCGAAAGTGTCAACGGTCGCTATTATCATCTGCTACTATCGTCTGCAGTGTTGCATCTCTTAAAATTGTCAGGTAAACAGAAACAATAAGAAACAGGTCCACAATTAACATATTGCTGAGACCCTGTTAGAGCATTTGTTTCGCTATAGGAGCCTATCCTAGTTTTGCCGTAATTCGTTCGTCGACAGAGGTTCGCATCTTTTTAATAGCACTGAGCCCAGTATGGATATTTTTCGGCGCCATAATGCGGGGGTAGAAGTTCGGAGGAGAGCCAAAGTTATAATGAAGATTTGTTGGGAAATGTTAACATGTTCATATGTTTTGAAAAGTTTGATAAGTATGTGTGTTTTTTGAAGTATAAATATGAATTTTAAAATTATTTTTACCTAATATGTATTACCTTTCATATTTTTATGAAGATGTTGATGTATTTTTAAGTATAAATATTGATCTTTTCTCCTTTTGTGCAGGGGAAGTATTGAGCCTGGTCTAGAGGCATTGCTATCTACTTGTCATGATACAATGAAAGTGTTGCATATCTCTGACTGTGACAACATTTTAACAGACAAGTAAGCAGTATAATGTTTCTGATTTTACTGAAACACACAAAAAAGAAATTAACTGTTTGATTATTTTTTAGAGGTTATATAATCAGTACAGAACAGATAAGGTGGTTTGGCCATCTCAAGAGAATACCCTGGTACCAACTGCTTCAGAAAAGCAACCTGAAGAAATATAATGAACACAGAGCTAGAGAAAGACAACACAAAATATGGAACGATGGCGTTAAGAACAGCTTTCAAGAAATTATCAGTTAATACAATGCATTAGAAAGAGCACATAGATGATCATTACATTCCCTTTACCCCCAGACACGCACGCACGCACATACGCACACACACACACTCTCTGTCTCTGTCTGTCTGTCTCTCTCTCTCTGTCTCTCTCTCTGTCTCTCTCTCTCTCTGTCTCTCTCTCTCTCTCTTTGATGAGTTCCTGAAGGAAGAGAGGAAGAATAATATAATGATCCTAATTTTAAATTAAAGTTAGAATTGAGAGGATCAGCTTTGTTGTGCTAGGATTTATCCCATTTGACTCAGTCTCTCTCTCTGCGGAATGGCTAGGCCCCTGCCAAGATCATTGCACAAACTCAGTAGCTTGACTACAATCCCCTGAGAACATATAGATTGAATCATGAACCGAATGACGAAGCCATGAAACAAACCATCAATCTTCATAGCATGAGGCAAACGACCACTTTGCTAAAGGGGACTCTGAACTTAATGTCTAGGGCTGACTCTTTCTGGACCATGCAATCTACCATATGCATATTTGCTACTGTATACAACACTTAATGTCACTGAAGCTACGGAGTTTGGGCTTTGTGTGATGCTCTCGGCAGGCAGCTAGCCATTCTGCTAGCTATATGGGATAAACCCCAGGTCAATAAAGTCAGTCCTCTCGACTTTAAGCAGTGAGATCTGGTCATGCTCTGTATGTGAATATTGAATCTGTTGATTAGCCAGAGCTGTCCCTGTAACAAGTTGCAATTGTTGATTGCTTTCTCTCTTAGATGCTTGTGGCTTGTGAGTGGTTATTGTCGCCTTCTGACCAGCTTGACCTATCAGAGCAGTGTAGATCCAGTGACACCACAGCTGATCTGGGCATTAGGTGCAGGTTGTCCAGGAATTACCAGTTTGTTTGTGCACCCACAACAGCCTTGGTATGTCAGATTGTATACATTCTCAGTTGTTTGGAATGTGAGACTGTTGTTATCAGTAAGCCCCAATGATCTTGGTATGTGAGACTGTTGTTATCAGTAAGCCCCAGTAATCTTGGTATGTGAGACTGTTGTTATCAGTAAGCCCCAATGATCTTGGTATGTGGGACTGTTGTTATCAGTAAGCCCCAATGATCTTGGTATGTGAGACTGTTGTTATCAGTAAGCCCCAGTAATCTTGGTATGTGAGACTGTTGTTATCAGTAAGCCCCAATAATCTTGGTATGTAGGACTGTTGTTATCAGTAAGCCCCAATGGTCTTGGTATGTGAAACTGTTGTTTTCAGTAAGCCCAAATAATCTGTTAATAGCAGTATGATTTAGCAGACTTGGTATGTGAGACAGTTATTCGGAGTACATCCTCAGTTGTTTGGTTATGTGAGACTGTTGTTATCAGTAAGCCCCAGTAATCTTGGTATGTGAGACTGTTGTTATCAGTAAGCCCCAATAATCTTGGTATGTGAAACTGTTGTTATCAGTAAGCCCCAATGGTCTTGGTATGTGAAACTGTTGTTTTCAGTAAGCCCCAATAATCTTGGTATGTGCAACTGTTGTTATCAGTAAGCCCCAATGGTCTTGGTATGTTAGACTGTTGTTTTCAGTAAGCCCCAATAATCTTGGTATGTGAAACTGTTGTTATCAGTAAGCCCCAATGGTCTTGGTATGTGAAACTTGTTTTCAGTAAGCCCCAATAATCTTGGTATGTGAAACTGTTGTTATCAGTAAGCCCCAATGGTCATGGTATGTGAGACTGTTGTTTTCAGTAAGCCCCAATAATCTTGGTATGTGAAACTGTTGTTATCAGTAAGCCCTAATGGTCTTGGTAAGTGAAACTGTTGTTATCAGTAAGCCCCAATAATCTTGGTAAGTGAAACTGTTGTTATCAGTAAGCCCTAATGATATTGGTATGTGAGACTGTTGTTATCAGTAAGCCCCAATGATCTTGGTATGTGAAAATGTTGTTATCAGTAAGCCCCAATGATCTTGGTATGTGAAAATGTTGTTATCAGTAAGCCCCAATGATCTTGGTATGTGAAACTGTTGTTTTCAGTAAGCCCCAATGATCTTGGTATGTGAAACTGTTATCAGTAAGCCCTAATGATCACGGTATGTCTGTTAATAGCAGTATGATTTAGCAGACTTGGTATGTGAGACTGTTGTTCTGATACATCCTCAGTTGTTTGTTATGTGAGACTGTTGTTAACAGTAAGACTCAGTGATCTTGGTACATGAGACTGTTGTTAACAGTAAGACTCCGTGGTCTTGGTATTTCATATGTATATAATGTGTATATACACTGTACAGCAGAATTCTCATCAAGTATATAATTTTTATCACAAAGTCATAGAACTTCGTCTTCTTCATATTCTTTTTCTTCTTCTTGTTCTGCTTCTTCTCCTTTTTCTTCTTCTCCATCTCCTTCTTCTTCTTCATGTTTACCCATACAAGTGTGGTTGGCACGTTGTGGTCTACAG